AGCCAGCATGAGCTGCCAGCAGCTGGCGACTGATCTGCCTCACCCGGGAAGAGCACAATGATGGTGCCAACTTGGGCCAGTGAAGCAACATCCTCTACAACTAGACTGAAGAACAAAAGGACAGCAATTTGTCTGTTCCCTTTCCCCCAATTCCCCAATAAAAATCTTTTAATAAATAAATAAAAATAAACTGTAAATGGGGTCAAATATATGGTGATGGAAGGAGAACTGACTGTGGGTGGTGAACACACAATGTGATATATAGATGATGTATTTTAAAATTGTGCACTTGAAGCCTATGTAACTCTACTAACCATTGTCACCCCAATAAATTTTAATTTAAAAAAAAGACAAAAAAAATAAAATAAACTTTAGAAGGGAACAGGCAAAAGCATATGAAAACAATGTGCAATATGTGATATGATATATTATTATGTTATATATTCACTCTCCTTTAAAACCACCAAGCTGTTTCATGATAATTTAATTCTTGAGCTTGAACTAGATAATCAGTGGCTTGCTACTAGTTGTCACAGTGACTAGCAGTGTGCATATAATAGTACCAGAGACCAGGCATGTTAAACCCCTGGCAGTGCCTGGGACAGTCCCATTCAACAAAGAACCGCCCCACCAAAAATGGCAATGTACCCCTGTTGGAAAACTCCGGTAGATAATAATTTGGATTGTTCATTCAAAATACTTATTACACCATAGGATCGTCAGACCCAAAATTGTGAAGAAAACCCTGTTAACGTCATACTTAATTTATAAATTCCCTTTCTGGCTATTAGCTCAGATATTTGTGAGATATTTAACTTTTCAGTAGCCATTGCCTTCACCACAAATCCTTTCTAAAAATATGTATGTTTTTTTCTTTTCCAGTATTTCAGATCTTTGTACTACTAGCCAAAAAATTGAACAGCTTAATGGTATAATTACACTTGGTGTTTCAGCTTTCTTGTATGATAGTGCAAACTTAAGATGAGTTTAATGTTTTTCAAGTCCCATAAATAGATAGATGCCTTTTATCTTCTGGTGGAGATGTCATTGTATTTTTTTTTCTACTCGTGGTTGGTCTGGCAACTACTCAAATGCTCCACCAAATGGTCTACAGCGGTTCTCAACCTGTGGGTCGCAACCCCTTTGGGGGTCGAACGACCCTTTCACAGGGGTCGCCTAAGACCATCAGAAAACAAAAAGATATTTACATTACGATTCATAACAGTAGCAAAATTACAGTTATAGAGTAGCAACGAAAATAATTTTATGGTTGGGGGTCACCACAACATGAGGAACTGTATTAAGAGGTCGTGGCATTAGGAAGGTTGAGAACCGCTGGTCTAGAATCTAGATGACAATTTTTGTTTTAAAAAATGCTATCCGGGGCCAGCCAAGTGGCGCGTTGGTTAAGAACTGGCTTGGGATGCCAGAGGGCCCCGGTTCAGATCCCACATATGAGGGCCAGTGACACTGCCCTCCACAGCTAAGAAGCTGAGCTACAGCTCAACCTGAGCTGGGCTGCCATGAGTTGCCGGCGATGGCGTAGGCTGCAGCCCCTGTGGCAGTGGGTTGCCATGGGCTACCGTATGTAGCCAGCAGCCAGTGTGAGCGGCTGTCCAGAAGCCGGCGACTGATCTGCCTCGCCAGGGAAGAGCGCAATGATGGTGCCAACTTGGGCCAGTGAAGTAACGTCCTCCACAACTGGACTGAAGAACAAAATGGCAGCAACTTGTCTGTTCCCCTTCCCCCAATTCCCCAGCACTGTTCCCATCCCCCCAATTCCCCAATAAAAATCTTAAAAAAAAAAATGCTGTCAGTAAAATTCAAGAAACTAACCAAAACTAAGAAAATACAAAGGTAACTGCCACATTTCCATATAGTCATTAAAGTCTGTAGAATTTCTCAGGATGCCGGGCCGCCTTCAGCTGTTGAGAAGCCAAAACATTAGAGAGCCCAGATTATCTTTGCATCTAGCATGTTAGCACACTTGAGGATTAAACCTGCTTATCAAGTTTTTGGAGATGGGGAAGTAGGAGGCACTTCTGTTGAAAAAAAATACATATTTAATTAGAATATCCTAACTTCCACAGATAAAAGTGGAGCCAGTTGTTCCAGCCCCAAGTCCAGTTATCCCCAGGTTGACTCTCCGAGTTGGTGCTGGCCAAGACAAGATGTAAGTATATAAATGTTTTCAATTAGAGTGAAATGAATTGAACTGAATTTTCTCTACACTTTCCCAATGGATTTAGAACCCTACACATCTTTTCCAGGTATGAACATGTAAGGTCAAGTTTTATTTTGAGAATTCTTTATTTTCAAATTTTTATTGCTTTCTCCTTGGGAGTAAATACATATTACTTTATTTAACATATTGGATCCTTTTTTTTCCACTTGTTCTTTTTCTCTTCTTTAAAGACTAGCACATGATGTTGTTTCTGCCTGGTTTTTACAGTTCTGGTTTTCTGAACACTTAAGAAACTGTGTATTGAATAGACTAACTGCCATATTACACCCAGGCAGATGTAATGTTATATCTTCTCAATATCTATATATTGTCTGTCACCATAACAAAGAAGAGACTCTCTCCTTGCTCAGATGGTACATGGCTTTATTCTGCACCCATAAAACAAAGATACTGCCAAAACAAAGATACATAATAGTAACAACTGAAGTCTTAATTGTCTGCTTTTTTGTTGTTGTTAAGAGAGAACTGGAAATGTAAACTCTATGTGTGCTGTAATTATTTGTGTTAATTGTCACGGAATCTTCCTATCAGCCCACACTTCTTTAAAGTAAGTTCGTTGGCTGTGTTTCTTTTATTCGTTTATTAAGTGTGAATTAAGGCCTGCAGTGCTCTTAGATGACCCTAATAAGGTGATGAAACATTGATATTTGTAAATCATGTTGAGATCATGCTCTTTATTCTAAAATCATACTATATATCATTTACATGAATTTCATAAGCTCAATGTACAAGTTTACAACCTTATTTTTTATCAGTAAGCTTGGAAATGGGTTAAGTTTACATTGCAAACAATCAAATATTGTGTAGAAAATAGGCTTACAGGGTATTTAATGGGTCATTGGAAAAGTCATGGCATATTTTGTATATGTTTTTCAAAGGTCATTTATTTATATAAAGAACAAAGATCAATCAATGATATATTGCCCATTTTGTTCGATAACCTTTTGCCACCTTTCAGTGAGCTTCATAATTCCTCGTTCATAGAAGGACCTGTCTTTATTTGCGAAAAACTGATCAAGGTGCTGATTTACAGCCTCATCTGAATTGAACGTAATACCATGCAAGGAGTTTTGAAGAGAGCGAAACAAGTGGAAGTCTGACGGCACTGGTGGGTGTGGCAACACATCCCATCGAAGCTCCAATAATTTTTGACGGGCGATCAAACTTGTGTGTGATCTTGTGTTGTCGCGATGGAATACAACTCCTTTACAATTAACAACATTTACAATTAACAAGCTCTGGACTTTTCTGAATGATGGATTTGTTCAAACTGTCCAATTGCCAACATTACACATTCGAATTGATTGTTTGGTTCCTTGGTAGGAGCTTGAAAAACACGACACCTTTAAAATCCCACCACACTGAGAGCATAACCTTCCTCTGATGAATGTCTGCTTTCGATGTCATTTGAGGCGAATCATCACATCGGGACCAAGACCATTTGCGCACCACATTGTTGTCAACAATCCACTTCTCATCACCAGTTATCAGTCGCTTCAAAAAAGGATTGTTTTCGGGGCCCGCCGAGTGGCTTAGTTGGTTAAGAGCTCGCGTAAGAGTGCGAGCTCTGAGCAACAGCGGTTCGATGCCCAGCCCGAGCTGAGTTGCTGCTGAGCTGCCAACAGGTAGCAGGATGACTCAGCTAAAAAAAAAAAACAAGAATCATTTTCCTCATGTTTAATGAGCATATTGCAGATGTTTATACACACCATCAAATGAATTTCTTTGAGTTCATGCGGAACCCAAATATCGAGCTTGCTTACATATCCCAGCTTCTTCAGGTGGTCCTGAACGCTTGAATGATGGATGTTCAATGTTTCTGCAATCTCTCGTGTCATGTAACATTGGTTTGACTTGATCAATGCCTTTATTTTGTCGTCATCAATGTCGGTGGGCCTCCCTGACCGAGGAACATTGTTGAGATAAAAAATCACCAGCACGGAATTTCGTGGACCATCGTTGGCACTGACATTCTTGTAGAGCACTGTCATCGTAAATTTTATGCAACTTTCACAAGCTTGACATGTGTTCTTCCCTTTATGAAAGTAAAACAGTAAAATATGGTGAAAATGCACAGTTTGGTCGTCCATCTTCAACTTGTAAAATCTCCAAAACTCAACCAAATCGCTCAATTTTTTTTTTTAGAATGAAGCTAGAACTGTCAGCTGTCAAATGACATAGCAGTAACATTGATGCAAATTACCCTAGTGCTTCCAAAAATGAACTAGCATCTGTTGCAAACATGCGTCATGACTTTTCCGACGACCCAATAATTTTCATCTGGTTTTTAACCATAAATATGAAAGTAGGACCTCTCCATGGATTTATACAATAGGTAGGGTAGACAACAGAAAATATGCTTTGTGTTCTCAGTTCATTCCATCTTAAAGTTTGTATTTATGCTGCTGCTCTGTTAATTCCAAATGTAATGCAATGATAAAAGGCCATTATCACTATGATGAATAGGTAGATAGAAGCAAACGTGGTCTTCTAGGAGAGTGTATACTCTTCTGAAGATTGAAAGAAAATCCAGATAGTTCGTTCTTTTCTTATCTAAATTATCTGCATAATTTCCACAATCCTCTTTTTGGTTGTGTCAGTAGAAACCTAGTCAATGGGTGGTAGTATTGCTGACAAACTTAGACAATGTAACAAAATACTGTAGATTCAGCTCTTTTTTAACCAGATACTGGTAGTGCCTGGTACCCTTGACCTTACCAACAAAAATTTGAATAAATTCATCCTTATCCCTCAACCAGTAGAGGACAGAGGCTGATGAGCAAGGAAACCCAAGCAGAGTAACTATTAATACCATTTTCTGGGGCATGCTGTACTTGGGCTTATGTCTCTAAGGGGAAGATGTTCTTATGTATCTTCAACAAATACTTTTCTCCTACCAGTTCATATTTATTCTTGTTTCCTCAGTAACTCACTATTACTTAATCTCTACTTCCACAAAACAGTTTGGCTTGTGCATTCCCTTTAGAGAAATAAGGTTTGTAAAAAGGCATTGATAATAATAATCATCTCATCCATCCTCACGCATCTTTCAGTCATTCTGTTGACTCCTTTTCTCTTCTCAATAAGTCACTACGATATTGGAAGATGTGAGGAATAGATCCTATTATCCTGATAGAAAAGGTACACAGTATTGGGGAAATTATAATACCCAGACATTCTAGACAAATTGTATAGCATCATATAACGTGAACTTTCAGATATTTAGGTAAATAACCCCCATGTTATATGAATAATAATCATTTGACCAAAGTCAGACTCATGGAAATACTTATAATGAACAAAGGAATAAATTAAGTAAAATATATTACATGTTAAAAGAAGAGAGAGAAAAAGAGGCCCAACACAGTAATAGCATGTTATATAACTTAATCAGTAAAGTTTTTTGTTGTTTTGTTTTGTTTTTTTTTAATCGAAATCAGAGGTCAGCAAATTATGGCCCATGGGCCTGCTCCATCCCAGGCCTGATTTTGTATGGCTCGCAAGTTAAGAATAGTTGAAAAAAATTAAAATAATAATATTTTATGACGCATGAAAATTACATGAAGTTAAAAATAATCTCTCGTTGTACCATAAGGATACATGGCTTATTTCATGGCAGTGATAATGGGAAAGAGGCACTGGATTCATACAAATGTGCTTTTACTTAGCTTGGACGCACTTGGGGGTGTAATGATACTCTTTTGAAGTGAAATTAATGAGCAGACTGGGATTCAAAAGTGGGGGTTGAATAGTCTGGGGAGGGGGTTGTTTATTGGTGAAAAACAGGCAGAGAATAGAGTCTTTTGAAATTATAGGAAAAGGGAAAAAGCTTTACAGGGTTCAAATTATACCCTCTCATTGAAAGATCTTTAAGACAATATTTAGTTTCTACATCTTCTTAAATAAAGAAGTTATGTCTTCTGCCCTTGATCCAGGAAAGTACTTTGAGGTTAGATTATTTCCTCTAGTCTCTGTTATTGTTCCTTTAAGCAAGACAGAGGTACCTTGTGTTTGCCTTGATTGAACGTGCCTGGAAATTATATTCTAAAGGGTCTATTGTGGGTCAGTACCTCCTCCTGAGTGTTAAAATTCAAGGTGACTTTGCAAGCACCTCAAATTCCTTTAGCATGTACCCCAGTAGTGGGTATCCAGAGTTCCCTTAGTCTGTATTGAAGATGAAGCTAAAATACTAACCTTACTAACCTGAAATTACAATCTCAACACCTATAAAGTTTATTGGAGTAGTACGAATGGGAAGAAACAACACATTCAAGTAAATCGCTAACATATCTGAGCCTGGCGTGACAATCAAGTTTTGCCTGGGAACAGCTGCCTATATTTGGTCAGGTTTCTGAGGTGCCACTTGGACTTGGTGACAAAGAGCACGGCTAGTGTTGCGATGTTATTTGTCATCTGAATCTTCATATTTACTGAATTCGTTTATTTTGAGCAAGTGTAGGAAGAGTGGGCTAACTTATGGCATTCATTCATTCATTCATTCATTCATTCCTATGAAGAAAATAGAGCAAAGTAAAGTGATGGAGTATCTTAGGGCCAGGGACCGTTTAGATAGGATTGTCAAGAAAGACATGAAAGAACAGGACCTACAACTCTTCTAAGTTTAAATGTGTGGCTATAACTTATAAAGCTCAAAATTCTGTTAAAGGAGTTTCTCATAAAGATGATTTTAAATACTGGTAAAGTATTAAGAAAAATGTAAATGTATCTAAAGATTTTGGGGTGAATAGTGGCAGTTAGGGGAGTAAACATTCCTCCCCCCTCCCACTTCTCAGATGTCTCTTTAATGCTGTCTTCTCGCTGGGACTGGAGAGGAAGCTTCTATCCCCCTCTCCACACACTCCTCCCATCTCCCCTTGGGCGGGCAGCTCTTCTGTCAGTTCCATTAGGCTGGTCGATGGACTTACTGT